AATTACACCCAAACACAAAATAAATGATCGTGCTCACCACACAATTATTAGTCCTGGGTGGGAAACGAACCCACGACCTCGGCCCCTCAATGAAATTATCTGTTAGAGATCCTTGCGGCCACAATTTCAAGTTGTAACCTAGGCGGTTTAGGTTTTGCGTTGATGAAGCCACTCAGTAAGATCAAATAACTATCTACGTGTAGTTATTCCAGCCTTGCGTAAAACGGCGTCCACCACCATACTTATTGCAGCCCTGCATAACAAGAAACCATATTTACGGGAAAGGCCTCGTCTAATGCCTCGATGGTGCAGTGGTAGCGTACCTATGCGACTGCTGTGCTGAGGTCTCGAGTTCGATTAGTGGGTCGGACCAAATGTTTGTATGATCCGCTAATATTTATTTCGGAGTTTGTTTGTTTTCTATATATAAATATGGATGTATTTACAAAAAAAAGTATAATATATAAGTATTCTATCAGTCGAACTAGCTTTCATAGCAAATTTTGCACAAATAGTCCTTAGGTACCGTAGGTGTGCACTAAGAAAGTGTTTTTAAAAATTCCTCCACTTAGGGTGCAAAATAAGGGTTGGAATTTTAAATCACATCACACATCAACAGCCTTTAATTGTCCACTGCTGGACATAGGCCTCTCCTTAGAAAGGAGGTTTTGGGCCTACTATACCACGATGGCCACACGGATTGGTATAGGGTTTGTGTCACGATTCTTTCGGTTTGCAGTGCTGGTGTGCTGCGTTATTTTGTGCCCTTCGTCGGCTTTTACGACACCCACGGGATGAATTGAGGTAGTGACATTCCGTATTCTTAATCCGTCACGACACGGAATTTTAAATGCAACTTAGTTATTTCTGGTAGTAGTTTCAAACTCACAGTAAATACTCTTTATTAAATCTTCTTTTGTACATATACCTACAGTGAAATTAGTCTCGAGAAATTTTTGCATATGTAGTTGTGTGTATATTACTCAGATCTTAGAGCGCGTTTCCACTATATCGTTCTGGCCTATACAAAAATGTTTCGATATCCTAACATTACTATTTAATTTTATACTTATCCCTAGCAACACTCTGATTTTTGTTTTCAATAAAAACAAGTTTTTATTTTTAAGAAAAAGGTTTTGACTTTATAAAAAAAAAAGGTGTGTGTGCGATTCACACACGATAGAAGTGAAACTTCAAAGAGGAGAGACCGATATTTAATTTTTTTTTTTCCTTTCATCTAGGTTTTTAAAACTCCGGGGGGTCTACGGGGGGGGGTCAAAATTTTTGTTATTTTTGGCCTAGGACGCACCGTTTCCGAGATATTTCAATCTAAAGCAAAAAATCGTCACTTGATAGTGGAAAGTGGAAACACGCACAAAACCAGAATAAACCAGTTTACGCTGTCCGTACCATACACTACTACAAACGCAAAATTTTCTCCAAGCTAATTTACCTGTATAATCTTGATTCATTGTATCCTCTACAATGTCAGATGTCGAGCACCACGCGGACGAAGTCGCGGGCAAAAGATAATTATTAGACCGGATGTGAGTATGTTTGTAATACTTTCACGCCTAAAATACTCAACAGACAACCATCTAATCTTACATACGTTTTGTCTGGACTATAGATTACGACATGGTATCCTTTCATCCAGAAAAAAAGTATCGCCCTCATGGATTGATGATACCTAAGATTCATACAAACGCGAACCTACCCGCGGGTATACACTAGACTTACTTTTTTAAACGCAGTTTCTTATCGCGCGTTACACACTCTGAGCAGATGGGAGCGATTCCGAAAAATGTGTAACAAGACTTTTTTCCGACACTTGGCGCGTCGAGGCTTAGGTACATTTTTTTCAAATTTTATATATGTATATAGCAACCGTCTACCAAAAAGCGAAAGGCACTTCGTTTCGACCGCGGGTCCATAGACATAGACCTCTAAAAACTTTTTTTCTAGGCTCTCTGTTCTAAGTCTTTTTGTGTGCATTGTCTGTTTACAACTACAATGGGTATGTTGCAGCATGGCAACCGGCATCTTCCTTACATAGAAACACCTACGTTGTGAATGTATTATGTAAATGTAATAGGTAACATTATAAACATAATCTCAAAATAAGCAATTAGCGAATATTTATTTTCTTTTGTAAGATATGTCTAAAAATAGTTTTTTTTATCGAACTGATCTTTATTTCTACATGATAAAGCTTCATTTTCATTGTCGTTACTTGATTTACAACAATAATTTGATTACAAGGTTTTGAAAAAGAACTCTATCTATATTGCAATAAGAGTGTATTTGGAATGGGTGATATTTGTAGTGATAAAAGCAGTTTGCACGGAGCTCTGTGAGCGAGCTGAGTAGACGCAGCTGCCCCGCCCTCCCCGCGCCCGCCGGTACAGCCCCCCACTCCCCTTGTTTACCCCGCGCGTGTCGCGATTACAAAGAGTAAAATAAAATGACAGAACATCAACACTTACGGAAGTGGATAAAATGATTGTTCATCAGAAGGTATTTTTAAGGACAATGGCAGGCATGTATGGGACTTTTGTACCGGCCTGCGTATCTTATGGTAGATCCCTACCGGTATTTGGTATTTGGCTTATAATATCATTAACAATAAATTACAGTTTTGATTACCAGACTTTGTTTTATTTTTAGAACTTCAGTTTGTAGTTTTGCATAGAGGCTGTACTGAAGTCGATACCAATGACAGCTGGCTATCACAAATGAGTTGTCATTGCTGTCAAAAAGTTAACCTAAATAACTTTTAAAATTATTCGTTCACGATTTTCTTGTTCCATCAATAAAATGTTGCATGTTTTTTTACATAATGTTCACGATTAATCTTTTGGTTTGAATCAAATTTATGAGTACCTTTCCTTAAATTAATTGATTTAAAACGATCATTCCTTTATTACTTCATCTAAACTATAGGTACAGTCAACATTATTAATAAAGGAATGTTTGTTTTGAACTGCTAAATACGCTAGTGAGCTCATTCATTAATCTCGATGTAAACATATCGTTTTTTATGTAATTTATATTTTACGCATGGCATGGCAAGTTCACATAATGTAGGAATGCGTTTTGTTAACAAGACTTTTTAGTTATTGCAATTGTAACCATTTTTTTCAGCAGAAAAAATGGTTACAATTGCAAAATTCTACAAATATAATAATTACATAACGACTTACGTTATAAAAGGTACAAATTTAATAACCATCATATATTACTAGGGGTACAGGATCTGCCATTCTCCTATGTGTAACTTTATTAATACTTTGGATATTATTTCTCTGACAGTTTAAAATAACCGTAATATGGTGTAATATATTATTCCTATTAAAGTCTTCTTCTATTTTCAGGTAACAATAAACATATTTCTTTAGCTGAAATTAAATTACATTACAGAGTTTTTCTTATTGTACATAACTAATATAAGTACATAACTTAATAGTACCTATCACTTATTCATACATTACTGCTAACTAATTTACATAAAGTCGTATTCTTCAGTAATAACAAGATTTATTAAACATCCAAAAACACTTTAAATGGTGTATTTCCATTATAAATTTATTAATATACATATATTTGCAATATCTGCTTCTAGTTTTACGAGCTAAAGTACCGTAACTGATAAGGATTTGAGATTGCCATTACAAAGTTGCTGGAGGTAAACCTCATTCTGTACATCAATTTCGTAAATAGAATCGTGACACAAGTATTAGCATACTCGGGGGGCTAAGTAAAATAGAATTATAATAAAACGGCTGGAGCTGGGTTGCCATAATAATGTGACACTTTGATGGTTGTATGTATTTTAAATGTCGAAGTTCAACCGAAGTTATTTTTTTTAAATGGTTTCTTTTGTTTGTGAGATTGGTTCCCACCCAGGTTAAATAATTGTAAGATGAGCAAGATCATTTGTTCTGTATCAGGGTGTGATTTATCTGTTATTATGTTATTATATCTATTTAGAAATATGTAAGTATGTTCATCAGCAGTCTGGTGATCATAGTAAAGCTACTGGCTAGTTTGTGATCAGACACCGTGTGAGATGTATGAGGACATTATTATTTTTTGTTATTACTTAATTGACTTTTTTGTTACTTAAATTAAGTTACTTACTTCACCGCAGGACCGGACACGGACCTTCAGGTCTATGACACTTAAGAGACACGTTGTGACATCGTCTTGAGACTTACTGGTAGGGTGACTGCTATAGTAGTTGTTTGTGAATGCTTATACTCAACAGTGTTCACCCTACTTTATTGTGAATATATTATTTTTGTAAAGTTGGGGATTTACAAAGTCAAATTCAACATGATAATATTCGTGTGGCTGTATTATGAACAACTGGTTTAATTTAAGCGAATTAACGAATTGTACAATCAAGAAAACGAAACAATAAATACCTAACTCCAAGTCTATGTTATTTATTCTATGAGGAGGCGGTCCGCAGTTCGCGCCGCCATTCTGGATATTTTGACGGGAAGGTCGGTCACGTGACTCGACAGCGGTGCGGGCGCGGGTCGCGGGGCGCCGGCTAGACTCTCCAGTAGCCGAGCCATCCGTCTGCTGCTTTGACTGCGGCCGGTCGCCGGAATCTACGCCCCAGTCTCACGCGTCCGCAGCTATTACGTACTTTTTTGTTCCTATGCTATGCTGTTTATGCGGCTGAGATTTAAGATTATGTTTTACAGTTAGTGCCTATTGTATGTGCAGTATCATTATTTACCCAAAAAGTGCATTAATCTAGTGTCACACTGAGGTTATTTGCGTATTTTTTGCACGGGTGTTCGTGCGGCGACGGGGCGGAGACGCCGGCAGTTAGCGGTGCTCGTTCGGCCGGGCCGTCGCGACGGCACACTCTACTCGGCTCGGCAGACATGTTTCGGTCGCGACCGGAGCGCGTCGTGCGTGCAGGCGCGTAGGCTCGCTCGTGACATGCGCCTGCCGAGCCGCAGCTACAGTGGGGGTGATCGAACATGGATGTAGTGACGCCGCACATCACCTCCGTGCTGAAGACATACCAGGCGAGCGCTCCGCGCAGCCTCCAGGGCCCTGGGAGCGGGCGCGCCGAGCCGTCCGGCGAGGCGCCGCCGCCTCCACCGCCACCCGCCGCGCCGCCGATCCTGCTGGCTGCCGACACGGTGCTCGGCGAGCGCGGCGAAACTCTTCTCGAAGGCGAACCCATCTCCTGCTTCAGTGTAGGAGGCGAACGGAGGCTGTGTCTGCCGCAGATACTCACGTCTGTGCTCACCGACTTTACACTGGAGCAAATCAACCGCGTTTGCGACGATCTGCAGATTTACTGTTCTCGGTGCACCCCGGAGCAATTGCACGAGCTCAAGTCCACGGGAGTGTTGCCCAAATCGGCGCCGTCGTGTGGGCTAATCACGCAAACGGACGCGGAACGGTTGTGCGCGGCGCTCCTGCACGGCCCGACGGCCTTGCGCCCGCACAAACTATCGGGCTTCCGCGTATACCACGAGTGCTTCGGAGGTGGGCGCGGCGTATGCGCGCCCGACCAGAACTTAGTGCAGTGCTTGGAATGTCGTATGTTGTACACGCCGCGCCGGTTCATATGCCACTCGCACGGAACGGAGCATCGCACGTGCCACTGGGGCTTCGACTCGTCTCGGTGGCGCCGCTTCCTGCTGGTGGCCGAAGAAGAGCAGGATAAGGAGAAATGTAAGGCGCTTCTGGACGACCTCGCCGAGCGGGAAACGCCCGCGTTGGCGCCAGTCGTCATCAAACAACCCAGCCAGCCACTGAAAAGAAAACAGGTATGTCAAAATTTAAGTCACACTGTAAACACGGATAATTTTAAGGTTTTCTCTTTTTTCTACCGACTGATACCTATTAGTAATATATAAATCTATACAGCCAGTGGGTTTACATCTTTTATACAATGGTAGGAGTACGATCACAGATTCTTGTAAGAATCTTGTTAGAACTAAAAATATGTATGACTTACTGTCTGTACCCTGCCACGCTTCGCTGTGGCACATTGAAATTGCATTAATGACGAATGAGGAACAAAACTGAAAACAAACAATCCTCGAAAATTTGAGCTCAATCGGTGCAGAACTTTATCAGTTTTTGAAGCAACAAACCAACAACATTCTTTTTTACATATATATACCTACTTGACGTCTGGTTTGTCGTTTTCACATTCAAGCTCTGATTTATATACCTAAACAGTCAATATTGTATCGCAACTAAAGACTAGACCTTTTCATAAGATACGTACAATAAACCACCTTTTTCCAATATTTGATTTAAAAAAACTTTTAACGCACATATTTCGGTACATATTTCGCTTAGGTACTCATGCTACTAGATATGCAATTACCAAATCTATAGCTATCAAAACAGATAAAAAAGCGGTCTTGCAATTTAATCACAACGTGACATTTGTTACTGTGCCCATATATCATCAGTACGGAGACGTATCTGAAAATTATTATGCGTTATTCAGATGACACTGTGTTTCCGCCAAACAATACCTACTGATACCGCAATAATATTTATTAGGTAAAGTAAATATTACACAATGCTATCAAAATATCAAGTTTAACGTAAACATGCCTGATACCAAAGTTCATTATACCAACCGTACTCGGTATGTGTCATATTAGTCTACTTTTTTTTACTAAACTATTTTGAAAACATACATTTATTTCAACTTTGGCAACAGAAATAATTCATTTCATGGTATGGACGAATGTATTATGGCCTTGTGTGTAAACTAATACGAGCTACGGGTGGAGTTTTAAAGTCAAAATATCTTAAAATCTTCATCAAATTATAACATATTAGAAAATTAGAACAACCTTAATAAATAAATTCATTCAAAATCATAATTTTTTACCCCCCCCCCCCCCCAACATTTTATTTGCGATAAATTAGATTTGGGTTATTGCTGAAGCCTGACGCCATATCTCCTTTGGAAGGTTGTAGTTTGCAGACAGGGCATAGGAAAGAGGGAAATAAGGAGGTTTAGCTACCTCGACCTATCCGTATTTTCTTTCTTACTCTATCCCTTGGGGCCCGCACAGCGATATTTCACCGCGAGGTTTTTGAAGGTTTTTGAAACGACTAGTAGATAAGCATGTATACAAAGCAACTCGTATAAGAGTTTTTAATAAAATGCCCAAGTTAATTCGCGAATTGCTACTGTCTAAGATGAAAACTGGATTTAAAAATATTGGCTAAAACAACATTTGTGGACACAACACACTTTTAAAGCATGAACGAATTTTTCAATCTGAAAGTTCGAAATCTAAAATAAATTAAATTATAATTACCTATATTATTAACTATTAAACCATTTGACATTTTATTCTTTTTTAAATTTTATGTTTTTAATGTATACATTTAATAGTGATTATTTTAATTTAGTTAGGCATCTTAATGTTTAAATTTAAAATTGCATTTTTGTATAATTTGATTTTTAATGTAATGTGATTTAAATTTAAATTTGCATGTGAATATTGGCGAAATGTGTGATTCAGTACTGTAATATCCATAAATGGTTTTTTTACAAATAAATTACTCTATTCTAACATGGTGCAAAATACAGTCACAAATAGACCAAGTAGGTACACAAAGCTTATGTTATTATCAATCTCTACACGCAGTTCATTGAATTTGTATTCATTTAAATGAAGTCCTTGTTTGATTCATGAATTAAATATAATATCGATGAATGAAGTCTAGTGACCTTTAAATTAAAAGATTCTCCTTCATACATACACGAAGTGTGTATATATCTTTCATCCATTCACTGCAACAACATGTTTTCAATAAAAACAATTGAAAATAATTATGTAGTGTGAGTTCAAATATTCAAGCGAAACTTCTCATACTGGCTGAACAAGTGACATATGATGTGACAATATTTAAATTTCCAATTGTAGGTAATGTTGCCAGTAAAAAATAAAATGCTCGTTATTTGAAGAAAGCGATTAGAACACCTTGTGATTTAACTAAGCAGGTTTTATTCAAAATTCTATTGCGAAGATCACATAGACACTAAAATGCCTAGGTAAATAATTCCGCCTATGGCATGTGGTGTCTTACTACATCGTATGTAGTTTTTTCCAAGCCAAGTGTTTGTGTTTATTTTTATCAAGAGTAAAATGGTGTCTTAGCATTTATATTTTATAAGAGGTCTAGGTCTAAAAAGTCCTTACATAACTATATAATAAACACAATATTAAAAAAAAAAACTGTGTACTCTAAACACAGTAGCAGGCAATGCAAAAATAATTAAACTATAGAGTATTGGACGAATTCGGTTTTTTTCAATTATACATTATGATCGTATTTCAGATATAAAGGACATAACGTATTATTAAATCGGAAAAAAATTGCAGTAAATGTAATTAAGTTTATTTCATGGTCAATGGAAACATTTTACATAACATTGTTGCGTTATAATAAAATAAATAAAAATTGTCTATTGGAACTGGGCGGCCAACAACCAAGCTGTTATCACTGATTCATATTTTCCTTCCTGGAGCAGAGACGACCTACTTCTCAATCTAGAACAACGGAATACGTGACGTCATTGTATACCAGACAGAAAACTACACGAGACTAAACATTCAGTAAAGAGATAATAAAAAATGTATGAACGAATTTTGATAAACAATTGTTTCAATGAGCCAGGGTTGCCAAATTACAAATAATAATGAAAATTTGCCTACACACTACTAGATAATATACTAGGCATACAAAATCTAAACATACAGTTTTATTATAAACCTAAATAAATAAACATATATTATGTTTACATACATATACATAAATATTAAAGACACTCAAAATATTATGCAGGTGACTTCGTCAAAAACTCTCTGTAGAGCTTGTGTACTTTGAACTTAAAAGTAGATTTGTTAGTAGATATCCTGAAGGCCTAGTGTGAGTATATTTCACAACAACTCACTATTGCGATTGGTGAAGATTTCAGTGCGGGCCAATCGCAACGCCGCACACGATCCTCCGTGAAGATCGAGTTAATGGGAAATAACTAGATTTAGATAATTTCAGTCTCAGGGCGAACGCCTTTTGCTGTCAATTGCTTAGGTATTAGATAGAGATACTTCAAAATATAGCAAAAGAAGAGGTATATTTTAGCATGTTGCATATCTTAGCATGACATGACATGACATTGCATGACATGACATTGACACATCATCAATGAAAAATCAGAATCATATCTTTCTCCTGTCAACCCTAAGTACTCGTATTTAATGTTGAGTTTGTGTTTGTGTAATATCAAGTCGTTTAACAAAAACAACTTTATCGTTCAGATAAAAAAAAACTATTTATTTTTAGCGGTTTTAAGATATCGTTTTTATAGCGATTCCTTTCTTCTTATTGGTTAAATTTGAGATTACAAGAAATTTCATTAAGTCTGGTATTATTAAAGAATTATTTGTTAATATTTGAAATCGTTTGGTGGTCGAAGTTCGACCATATTTCATTAATTCTTTGATTTGTTTTGATTAACTTATTTATATGATAAATCAAGCTTTTCATTTCAAATTTATAAGTTCTTTCCGTACCATGACATACTAGACTTGTGCACAATAGTTGTCTGCTCAAATTAGATCCGCCAAATCGAGGTTAAATGTCCAGCTTACATAAGACCATGATGGAACCTTATTTCGATTCATAAGTTTATACTTGAGCTTTAGAAGAAAAGAAGATTTTAACTATTAGCCAGAGAGCAGGTACCAAATCTCAACTTTATACCCCAAAAATAGAGGATACATTTTAAAAACACCAAACTTAAGGTTTGCTTTGCTTGAGTGTCATGTATTCATTCCGTGGGTGTTATAACAGCTGATTAAGGGACCAACTACGCAGGACAAGAGCACTGCAAAAAGAAGGAAACCTTGACACAAACTCCTATACCAACCAGTCTGGCTAGCGTATACCACTCTAGCCAGACTGGTAGTAGGCCAAAATCTCATTTCTAAGGAGAGGTCTATGTCCAGCAGAGGACTATTATAGGCTGTTGATAATTATTTATTATGCACCAAGCTCACCACTCGTCAAAAGGAAGCTGTCATGAATAGTATTATATACATCCTTCACAAAGGCCACATAGATCAGTGAACTTAATCCCCATTCCACTTATGCTTAATTCAAAACCGTACTCGATGTGTATTACTAATGGGTACCGCTAATTAGTTAATATGCTAACACTAATTCCGTACCGGAGACTTGCAGGAATCCGGCTAATTCGGGCTTAAACTGTGTCTAACACAGACTTATAAAGCTATAATTAAATATTCCAGAAACTGTTCTACGTAACGCTTTTATTAACTGCAATTTTATGCATGCATGGCTACAGTGAATACCATACTTCCGAACATATGTACCGTACGAATAGATCACAAAAAGAAGTTGTTAAGCAGTTCTTTTCTTACACCTTAATCCTGGGGTGGCGCTCAAATGCTGGTAAGTCACTTGTCAATCTTTAGTTGCAGGTGTTCGTGGGTACGGTAGTTATTATATCAGTTGACCCACCTGCTTGTCTGGGCCCTATTAAATAATAAACAATCCGTTGCAAGACATCGGCCCCTCATTGCGCGCTATAGTTGTTGGTTGCAGCTGAATATAAACTAAGGAGTTTGTATTCAATACTCAATCTTTTTTTGCGTTCCATAATGTAAATAAATGGTCCTAAAAATATAAAAATAGAGAGCCAGGTTAGGGGAGAGGAAGAGGTACAGGTTCTAGTGTATGATATGTTTTTAAATTTTGTGTATTTGAAATATTAATGCAGGCATATATGTATGGATTTATGTGTGTATGTTTATGTTTTTTTTTATATATTTATAGTATTATATAGTACGTA